GCCGGGAGCGGGGCGGGGCGGGGCCGGGCGGGGCCGCGCAGTCACCGCCCCGCGTAGGCCTGGAGTCCCCCGGCAGCCCCGCCCCGAGGCCCTAACTTGTGAAACAAAGTGCGGAGGAAGGGCCGGGTCTCCCGCGCGTGCCGCCGACGCGCGGGCGGAGCAGGACGGTGACTCGGCCCGCGCCTTACCGAGTCGGACTAGGTGTGCCCGCCCGAGGGCGAGCGAAGGGGGTGTCGTGGGGGTGCCCAGGGCTGCCAGGCCGGGCGAACGAGGACCTGGGCCCGGACGCGGTGCCCCAGAAGCATCCCCGGCCGTTCTGCGAGCCCGCAGAACGCTCAGCCTGCAGCCTAGGAGAAACGGGACGCCTGGGGCCACCCCGCGCTCCCTGCCGCCCCCAAACTGCAGACTTCAGTTGTGCAGGCTCGCAGTGATTCCTCGGAGCCGGCTGATCAGCTGTAGGCGCCCATGTTCCCTGGGCTCCCCGCCAGTGGCACCCGCTTTGCCACAAGTCCACCACCCGGGCCTGCTGACCACGCCTCAGAACAGCGCCTAGCAGGCGCTCAGGTTCGAGTTGGGCGCGCAGAAGTGTGTGCAGGAGATGAGCGTGCTTTCCTGGCCTCGTGAGAGCACGCTGTGGTGTCCGTGGGTTTTTGTTTTTTGTTCAGTCACACCCCACGCAGGCAGTCAGAGAAAGAGGAGCAATACTTGCAGTATCTTGTGGGCCTCAAGGAGGCCGAAACCGCACCCTAGAGGAGGGTTAGGCTCAGAGGTAGCCATCAGGGTGCAGGGCAGCTTCCAACCATGTGCTGGTGACTCCAGGGTTTTTTTGGCCCCTGGAAGGAAAGGTGGGGATGCAAGTGGTGGAGAACACGAGCTTGGGGCCTCTCACTGATCTTCCGTGGTGTCGTGGTTCTCTCATGCCAGCCCCTCCCCCCCGAAAAAGGATCCAAAGCATTTGTCTACACTGCTGTTTGCCAGCCTCTGAAGAAGGCAGTTCCTGTGTACAATTCATAGTCTTTAACCTGAGATCTAAGTTTGTGCTAAGTACGTGGTGGTAACACCAGTACCTTGACAGCGTCACCCGAGGCCTCTCGCAGCAGCTAACTCTTGAACCACTTCAGAGTCGCTGAGTTCATCCTAGCTCAGTGTTGGCTGAGAAGGACACTGCTCCAAATCACCAAGCCCTGCTCCTCTCCTGAAGGCGTCTTCGGGACCACAGTGGGTCTTTCTCCTGGGACCGGTGGCCGTGTGTTCGAGGAAAGCTCACAGAGGCCCTGAAGGGTGTGCAGATGGGCATGGGCGGAGTGACCCTCCACCATGGGTGAGGGAGACAGGTGTGCTGGGCACAGTGACCCCGTCTTCTAGCCCTAAGGAAAGTTCTTTGCTCACAGGGTGACCGTGTGAGGCAAATGAAATGATAATAAACAGGAAACATGTCTGCTCTTGGAAAGCTCACACGCGGACATGGACCACGGTGGAGCCAGTGAAGCGGTGAACTCACTGCTGCACACGCATGCACACGCACACACGCACACACCCTCTGCCCCTCCCTCACCCAGTCTCCATCACCAGCGGGCATGCTCTGACCTGGCTGCCTTCTCCCTGCACAGCCACCTTCTACCCCATCAGAATGTCTTCATGCTGCGTACTGTGACATCCTCTCCGCTCTCAGCCATGCCGAGTGAAATGTTATGCTTTGGATCTAAGGTGTCCCCCGAGTGTCGTGTGTTTAGGGATCACCACAGGGGTGCTATATTTACCAGTGAATTCACCCACGAATGCATTCGGTAGCTGAATTGCTGCTAGGAGGTGGTCACAGGGGTGATCTGCAAGGGAATATTCTTGTCCCCAGCGCCTCCCTCCTCTTTCTGCTTCCTGGCTGCCACGGAGTGACAGTGTTCTCTGGCCATGCCCTCCTACCGTGTCCTTTCTGCCTGGAAGGCAGTTGACCACCAACTGAATCTTCTGAAACCGTGAGCCAAGGTAAGCCTCTCCTCCTCTAGAGTTGCAGGTGACAGGTATTTTGTCGCATCAGCAGGAGAGCTGCCAGCCACACTTGACTGCGGGGATAAGTCGTCGCTGGCTGTGGTAATGCTCCCTCCTGCCTGCGTGCCTTCGGAGGGGACGCCCAGAACCAGCGGAGACCTCAAGCGCAGTGCGATGTGTTCAGCCCCTCTCTCCAGACCTCCACGTCCCGCTTGCTCTTACTCACCTACCTGCTCACTCCTTTGTCTATCTCCACCCAAGTGTGTCTTTGACCTCTTTTGTCACCAAAGTCCAAATGACAGAAAATTAGCTGGATACTACCCCCCAGGGAGGGGAAGTATTCATTTGACTCTTAAATTGGGTGACAGTGAAGATGTTCGCGTGTCTGGCAGGAAGGCAGAGCCTGGGGGCACAGCTGTAATCATGATCGGCGTCTGTCCTGTTGGCCATTCCCTACGCAGCAGGCCAGAGGTCGCTCCAGCCAAGCTGAGCGCTTGAAGCACCTGCCATTCCCCAGACTCATTCACAGGGTGCACCCTCCGCATAGAGCACCGTTCCTAGCCACCGGCTCCTGCTTTCTCAACAGACGGTTGGCAGGATTCTGGCGGTAAGCAGGACCCTCTCTGCCGTCCTGGGTTCTGTATCTCAGCTCTAGGCTATTCAGCACCCCAGGCTTCCCCGCTCCCTCGCTCCTGACGCTGGATGTTAACTGTACATCTCCCGCTGACTAGCAAGCTCCATGAGTGCTGAACTTCTAGGACCTGCATGTCTGTGGAGCAAATGTCATGGTGCTGCTCCGCACCACCTGCTCTTGCTGACGGGTACATATTTTTATGCTACCTTTTGCCAGATGAAAAGAAAACATAAAGCGTTACATCGTTCTTCATTTTTATGCCAAGAAGCTCAGAATTAAACTCAGGTTATATTAATGTTGGTTCTTAATTAACTAGAAGACTTAGTTTAGATTATTTCAACGATGATCATGCTTCTTTCATGAAATAAGTATGCTTACTTTAACTGCCTGGTGCTATTACTTTTTATTGAACGCACCTTAAAGCTTTATGGTCTTATGGTCCAAACACTTGAATTCTACCTCACCTCCACCCCTGCCGAGCTCAGTGGTATTTCCTCCCTGACTCTCTGTTCAGGCTTGACTATCTGATCTTCACAGGCCTTGCCAGCTCTAAAAGCTTTGTATTTCCATAGGTAAAAGGAGAGTTTATACATTATTAAGGAGCTCTGTGACACATCTACCCAGCCTAAGTCTCCTAGGAGAAAGGAGTCCTCTCCTCAGGTTCTTGGAAACTCCCTCCGGAGAGCCTCAAGGGTCCCCCAAGGTGAGCCGACCTGTGCGCCTGTGCTGCTCTGAGCAAGGGTGCTGCACACAGACGCCTCGAAAGGGCTCTGTCCCGGACTCAGGCCGTGAGGAGACCCCAGAGGGTGACAGAGGCTCAGGCACCTGGCCGCAGCTTGGCTTTGCATGGCAGCTCGAGCGCCTTACACCTTTCTCCGTCACAGTCTTCCCCGCCCAGCCCTCCACTCCTCTGTCCCCTCACTTTGCCCACCATTGAGGTGTTGCCTGCATGGCATCTGAGCCCTGGCCCTGCCCCTTAATGCTTCCACTCTGCACTGGAAAACGCTGCCTGCACAGCCAGTGCTGAGCCCAGCGTCACCCATTCTGTGAGGCTTTCTCTGACTCTTGAACCAAAGTTAGACGCTTCCTCCACTGGTTCCTGTCATTCTTTGTTCAAAGCTCCAGTTACAGTCACGATCCTGTGCTAATATCATCACGTATTTGGACTGAGTCTGCATTAAACTGAGAGCTCCTGGAGAGCAGGAACTGTGTGGTGTCATCACAGTATCTTCAGAACCCATTGTGGAACTCAGCAGATCCTTCAACAGTAGAGAAGTGGGATGATTGGATGATTAGGTGCATGGATGGATGGATGGATGGATGAAGTTCTGACACAGCGTGGGAGGATGCAGAAAAGCATACCATGAGGCACCAAAGAGCCGAGATGCCATTCTTTGGTTTTTTTCCCATAGGGCAGCTCTGCACATCTTTAGTTGCCCTTCATTTGTGGAGTGGAACTTGGGGCCTAGCCTTTTTTCCAGCTGGATGAATATCCCATCACACCCCACATACTCTTCAGCTTCCTCTAAAATAGCTTCTCCAACTGATACCTGGCTACCAAGGTGACTGATTCTTCCCAGTTTGGGACTGTTCCTGTTTTAAAATTGAGAGTCCAGTGTCCTAGGAACACCCTCGGTCCAGGGCAAACCGGGACAGGTGGCCAGTCTCCTCTCTATACTGTTGAGGATAAGGTCAACACGTCCCGGCTACCCACGAGCTGGGAGAGGGTACATGACTGAGTCCATCCAGTTTGCCTTCACTGGACGTGACACATGAGCTGCTGAGGAGAGTCCTCAAAGCAAGGGCAATGTGTTTCTGCCCTCTGGACTGGACATCGCAGCCATGAGTAGACATCTCATGATAAGGGTGGCAGGGCAGGTCGACCAGAAGGCCCTGGGCTTCCTCCATTTATATGAAGAAAATAAACTTGTCTCTCACCTGAGCCATCGTCATGTGAGGTCTTCTGTCCTCACAAATCCCATCTCAGAGGAGGAATTCCCTACCTGCTGAGCTGTGGGCGTGGCTCATGAAGCTCCCTCCTGTTCATGGTCCCCAGACCCTTGTGTTCAGAAAATGCCCTGCGTTGCCAGAATCAGTGCCTCTGTGCAGTTTCTTCAGCCTTGTCTGCAAGAACTTGCACACTAACCCCCTGCTTGTGGTGATTTTAAGAAATCAACAGGTCTGGTGTGACCCCAGGGTCAGGGTAGGAAACCTGACTGCCCACTACTGGTTCTGTATGTGAAGAGTTCTCCAAACATGTTGGTGGTATCCCCATCACCCAAGCCGGGGCCCAAGTCCCCCTGCGTGTGTCCATAATTCCCTGCTGAACTGCAGACACCAGGCAAAGGAAGGGTGTGCCAGGAAAATGCCTCACTCCTCTGAGAGAAGGAAAGGGACACAGAGTCCCTGTGGGCCGGGCTATCTCTGTACAGGCCTGGAGGCAACCGTCACTCTCTCCCAAGCACACTACTCAAGGTGAGGTCAGGGCCGGCAGCCTGTGTGGAGGAGGAAGGGCGACGCTGGCCAACTGTCCACCGCACAGCAGGAGCTCCATGCTGCTTGCTTAGGGGGAAAACCTGCAGATAATTTCTCTGACTATCTGTTCTAAATATTTTGTCTTCTTTTGTTTTCTGTTAAAATCTTTTTCAAAAACAAAAAAAGTCCTGATTTCTTACCTCAGTAATGAGAAGAGAATTCTACCATGTCAAGATATGGTGATAACGGGGAATTCAGGCCCTCCGGAGGACCAGAGCCATTCGACATCTGTCTGGGCATCCACCCCCAGGCATCTGTCCTACCAAGCTTACTGATGGCCTTTGGTTTCCATGAGTCCTTGCAAGACATCTATAGCTGCTATGTGAATGGACACACTCTGATTTATGTGTGGTACTTCATCCATTATTACAATCTTTTCTGATGTTCATCAACATGGTGTAGTGTTTTTATCTCCGCTCTTCTGTTCTGTGTGCATCTAGTCTGTTTTATTGGCATATGTATCATCTCTGTGCTGTTACCCACTCCCCAGTGATAGGTACCCCCAATTTCCACAGTACAAGTGCTGGCATCCTCGAACACGTCACCTTGTAGACCCAGGGAGAACTGAGAGGTGTATACACCAGCAGAGGGATTGAAGGCCATCTGGTATGCACAGAGCTGATATGGAAATATTGAAATGCTCTGTGTTGGCTGGTAAACAGTCATGCTCCCATGCTCCACGAATTCCCTTCCCATGGCCCCTCCAGATTTTCGGCCTTCCTGCAATTTACAAGGTTAATGGCTAGACTAACTAGAACTTAGTCTTTCTTGCAATTGTTAAATCTTTTAAATCTCACCCCTAGATATGCATATTCTTAGTATGATTCTCAGACCTGATTTGAACCCCATTTCCCCTCTATGGGGGAGCAACTTGCAAATGAGGAGACAGAATGAGAGAGAGAAGTATACGCTCAAAGTCACAGTCTAGAGAAAGACCATGGAGCAGTCAAATCGAAAAACTTCCCTGAAGAGTTCAGTTCAGTCTCTTCCTTTACCTTTAAGAAATTCTCAGAGCTACAGAAACCCACTGATACTTCATTCTGCATTAACAAGGTTGTGTCCTACTTCGTCCTGCCCAGAGATGTGGGAGCCAGCAGGATGTAATCCTGTTCTGATGTCAGGGCCCCCACCACAAGCAGGTGCTCTAGCAGGTGAGGAACACTGGACTCACCAGCCTGGGTTGTAACTTGCTCTGTCCTTCTCCATCTATGTGACCTTGGGCATGTACATTCCTGTTTCTCTGACCTTCACTCTATTTGCAAGATCCTCCCTCACAGCATGAAAGTGGGGTTCAAATAAGGTGAAGATGTGATTCAGAGCAATGTGGAAGAAAGTAAAGGCCTTGTGCCCAACTTCGAATCCTAGCTGCTGGCGCCTTGCCCTTGTCGCCCCTTGTCTTCTTCCCATGTCCGATGGCGATGGTGATGCTGTGCCATGACTTCTGAACTTCCTTGTGCTTTGATGTCTTTGAGCCTCTCAAGACCTCAGAGGTGTCACTGAAAGGTTCCCCACCCAGCCAGCTCCCCTACCAGCTTCTTCTGGTTCTCACCCTAATGCCCCCCACCCTGCTAGTCCACAAAACTACTCAGCAGACCATTCACTTCCTCCCAAGGAAGCCAGGACCCTGCACCTTCTTGTCACTGCCCAGGATGCCTGCCACAGTTCCTACAGATTAATTCTATTCCCAGTACAACCCCATGTGGCCCTGGATAGCATGCAGCATCCTCCTTCCCAGCACTGAGTATGTGTAACTAGCCAACTGCTGTTGGTATCATCTGCCGAGGGTCCAGTGTCCGGTGTTCCACCACCTCTGCTATTTAGGTCAGAGGAGAGAGACCTTTAACAGTGGAAATATGAGATGATCAGAACAGATGCCTGTCTCAAAGAGAGGTAAAATGATATATACGGAGCACTGTGCCTCCATCTGGTAGAAGCTCATACAAACAGAGAGAAAAGCAAACAAGAACTCAGCCACAGGCAGGATGTTGGCAATATCCAGATGGGAGACACTGCTGCATCTCCGGTGGGAGCCTTCTTCCATGCTTTTGAAAAGACCCAAGCTGACCACTGTTAGGTCTCCCTTGCCAGGAGGGAGGCACACAAAAAAACTGATTTCTTTTCCTTGAAACAATGAGAAACGTCATTCATAATTGAAACAGCGACTGCTCAGACAGGCTGTGTTCCTCGCTCCCAGCATCTGAAAGATGAGGCTATAATAGAATGACTGTTTGCCTCCCTGCAGCCTAAAAAAGTTTCCAGGGCTCTGAAATTCATGGCTGCTATGGGTGACAAACAGCCAGGGTTGGTGGTGGCAGATTAACTCTCCCCTCAATTCTAACATTAATCTGCACTGGAAGTCTCATCTCTCTTTGGCTCGGTTTTCTGACCTGCAAAATTGGGATTGTAAACTCACTAGAACGCTATATACCAAGCTAGGGAAAGGAGCTGCAGAGACTCATCAAAAGATTAAGAGCAGGCTCCTCCTGGAAAGAGCTCAGGACTCAGTGGACTGGTACAGTCCACTCACTTCTCCAGCAGGCAGGGCATTAAGATGGCCTAGCTGGACTGAGGGTTGAGAGACAAGAGCAGCCTGCAAATGTGACAGGGAATGCCACTTGTCACACAATTTCTCCCATCCCATCTATGTCACTGACAACTCCAGGGCGGTCCTGTGACCAATGAAGCACACTTATCCCCTCTTGCAGCTAGCGTGACCCTACCAACTTTTAGGGTCAAAAGTACACCTATGTGTTTGTCTTGCTTCTAGGCAATCTCTACAAAGAATGATACATATTTTCTCCGCCCTTCTTCCAGCCTCCTGGGATTCTAGGAGTTATTTGGGGACATGAGAATGAAGGGTGCACCCCAGGGAGGGCAGAATGTGCTAGTGGAATCCAGGACCCTCCCCCCTTGTGCAGCAATTATATCAATGCTGTGCATATCTTTACCTAAGAAATGCACAGCTGACTTATCTGTGAGTTTATATCCGTCTTAATACAACTGGTCCCCGTCTCATCCAATGCAACGGATATTCAGCATCAACAACAGTTACACATGTTCACACTGTCACTATTTAATTAGCTCTTAAGCTAACACTCCAAGAATGTTTTTAACTTCTGGAATATCAAGTGGTTCTGAGCAAGGCAGCTACTTTCAAAACAACTTTTGGGAGACTATCTTAGTTACTCTTGTCTCATTGCTGAGACAAAATACCGGACACCCAAAGTTAAAAGGGAAAAGGTTTATCTAACTCAGTTTGGAGAGGTTCCAGTCCATAATCTGCTGGCTGCAGGCAGGGTGACTTGACAGGGGGCATCACAGAGGAGAAAAGTTCGCGGCACCAACAAGGTGGCAGAAGCAACAAGGGACTTTAACAGCGTGTTTCTGCCCATTTTATCTTATCCAGGCTGCTTAGGGAGGGAAGTGCTCACGCCCTCAATGGTAGAGACCTTGAATCTGGCACTGCACCATGAGTCAATTCATGTCACTCACTCTAGATTCAGCCACCTCTGAAAAAGCCCCACCTATGCCTGCCTGAGGCTTTGGGGGGAGATCTAGACACAAGCCATAACAGATCCAAATCAATGAAAGGACTCAGGTCATTTTAAGACTGCAAAGTTTGAAGAATTCTACCTTCCTTTTTTTTTTTTAAGAATTCTACCTTCTTCTGAAATAGCAGTAGGTTTCTGGGACAGTAAATCGGCTGTATGGGACTTGGGCCCACATGCACCCTGTTTAATACACACATACAGAAGTTCCTCCATTCACAGTGCAGTTTCGTCCTGATAAACCATCATAAATGGAAAATATTGTAAGTCAAACACTCCCTTGATAAACCTACCCTGCTGATCATAACTTACTCTTACCTACTTAAAAATCCTCTAACACCAGCCCATTTCATAATAAAGTGTTGGATCCCTCATGTAACTTATTGACTACTGGTCTGGAAGTGAAAACAGAAGGGTTATATGATGTTACCCAGTTCTGGGGTTCTGGGACCTCCGTTTAGAAGTGATTTCTGGGTTCTGTCTGTCTCGCACAAAGAACTGGTTAAGACAAGCCCAAAAGATAGTGAGGTTTTACATTTATTAAAGATAGGAAAAGAAACTTGCTCTGCAGAGTGAGTGCCGGCCAATTAAAAGCAGCAAAGGAAATGCGCTCTGCAGGGTAGAGCCACCACTGAGACAGAGACAGAGGGAGAGAGAGAGGGACCATGGCCTGGCTCCATGGCCTGGCTCCATGGCCGCCCTCCTGTGTCCCCCACTCCTCCAGCTGAGGTCAGATCTAGGTCTGCTATCCAAACCTGCTCCTGCTCTCTCATGAACTGAAGATAGCACTCTGATCCATCCCAGGTGCAGGGCTTTGGGAACTGGTTTTCTGAGCACTTCTTGATCTCTGCTTGTGTAGCTGGTTTGTCACACCCTTACCTCCTGCCTCGGGTACACTTCTGCACCATCACAAAGGCAAAATTCTAAATTGAGCCACTGCCAAGTCGGTGACCATCTGCGCTCACGTGCATGCTGACAGGGGATGGTGCAGGCTCTCAGGAAGCCCTGTGCAAGCATCACATTGCGCACAGCCACACACCCACACATCCATTCCTGGTGGCAGGTTCTGAGAGTCTCCCCAGGAGTGTGGAGACCCTAGGTCCTCCCTTCCCTAGGAAACTAAGATACTTTGCATTATTATTTTCAGTAACCCTGTATATGAGGCAGCAAGAGGTGCAGAGTCATAAAAAGCAAGATCAAGAAAGCTTGGTCATCGATCTCATGGAGGAGGACTCAGGACTCATGGGAAATCAGGAAGAAGAAGGTCCTCTCCCACACAGGAAGGAGTTCCAGGGTCAGGCAGGGCCTGGGCAGTGTGGTACTATGGGACCTTGATTTAGTGGAATATTCCTTCCTAAGAATGAGCTAAGCTCCCTGGGAGTCCTCTGTTCCTCTCGCTCTGTAACCCAGAGGGCAAAATGGACCTTTAAAAATTAGGATTTCCCTAACCAGGCATGGTGGAACATGCCTATAATCCCAGCATCAGGAGGCTGAGGCAGGAGGAGTGCTATGGGTTTGAGGCTAGCCTGGGCTATATAGCAAGACCCTATCTCAAAAAAAAAAAAAAAAATAGGATTTTCCTTTTAGAGATAAACTGTTTCTCCAAGTTTCTGCATGCCAAGAGTGTCAACAGCCGCCCCAGGTCTGACAAGGATGATTTAATATTATCAGTCCTAGGGGCCAAAACTTGGCTAAATCTATGTATGGCTACTTCCTGGCTCTTGTTTCATCCCTTCTATAAATTGGAGTGCTTCTGTACATTTAAAGGGGGACAGAATAGCTGCCTTCAAAATTTGGCCAAATGGTAAATAAGCTCATGCTGTCATTTTTGAGGGTTCTTGCAG